GTCAATGAATGAACACACGTGTGTGTGTTTGAAGTGAGGGGGGAGATAGGTGCCACTGTTAAAGTCACTAAAGTGCCTCTGATAGAGATCGGTGGTGGTGGTGGTGAGACCTGTGTGAGTGAGTGTGTAATTACTACTACTACTAGTACTTCTATTTGATCTCCCAAGCCCTTCAACTCACCGCCGATCGATATGCTCAAGCAAAGGCTCACTTGCACTTTGCACTTTGAAGGTGCGCGCACTGGCGCTCGGGCTCATTTTGTGAAGCACGAGCGAAGCAAACAATTAGCAGCGATGAAAAAAGAAAAACTGGGAAAATGAGAGAAAGAAGGGAAAATGGGAAAGAGAGCTAAACACGTGCAATGATTCGATGTGTTTATGTGTGTGCAGATGATGATGTGCTCAGACGATGTGGCCGCCGGCTACCACTGTTTCTGCTGTTGCTGCTGATGGCCCATGACACTTGCAAGAGAAGGTGGCAGTGGCAGTGTCATGGGCAGTGGTGGTGGTGGTGGTGGTCATCGGTGATCATCAGAGCACCAAAAGCAGTCTCACTATAAAAGGATGCTGTTTCACTGTTCAGTCGGTGTGTCTGCCTGCTTCAGTCTGTGTCTACAACTTCAGTGATACCTCATCAAGTGTGTATGTGCCTGTTTTAGAACTAGTGCTCTGCCAACTTAGAACCCAGCAAAACCCAACTCCAATCATCATCATCATCATGAAGTTCACCACCGCTTTTGCCCTCATCTTCGCCTGTCTAGTGGCCAGCTCTGTCTTTATCGAGCAGGTGGAGGCAGGCAAGAAGAAGAAACTGATTCTCGGTGCACTGCTTCTCGCCGCTCTGGCCAAGCCAAAGATTCTTCCGCTGCCTGTAAGCACACTAAAAACAACATCAATCAACAGTTGATTTTTTCAATCTCTAAACTATTTTTTTGAACATCATTCCTCTGTCATTTAGATCCCTATTCCAATTCCGATCAAGTTCAAAGTCACCAAACACGAGCCTCGGTACTATCCAGTGTAGTAAGTTTAAAAATTTGTTTTTTAAATTGGATTTTAGAGATTCAGTAAACTCAACTACAATTACTTTAATTTTCAGTGAGCAAAGAGGTTACGGTGGTGGATATGGAGGTAATTACATTCATTTGAATTATAAAATTGAACAGTTTTACTAACACAAATTTTTTTCAAGGCGGATACGATGAAGGCTACTAGATTTTTTATTTGTGTACTTCTTTGAAACCTCACTTCATCTCTTCTTTATCTCACATCTCATCACTAAACCTGAGCTAGTTCTCGGTCATCTTTCTTCATTTTTTTGTTAGTCACCAACGTCATTCATATTTATGTCATTCATTTGCTACTGTTCCTAGCTATAGTTTTCACTGTCCTGTTGTCTAATCAGAATTTTTTGTCTGCCCGTAGTAAAGTCCCGAGTCTTTTTAAATGTAGTCCAGTTGTCAAAATAGTCTTTTCTGTTTTTAAACTTCAACCGTAATTGTTAGCACTTTCACCGTTTTCTGTTTATGTTTGTTTATTTAATCTCAAAATTACTGTTAAAAATTGTTTGTTTTAAACAAAATCTATTTCTGCTTCTACATTGTCTTTGTGTCAAGTTAAATGTTAAATGTTAAAAGTGTGGTGCCGATGTTGAGGCTGGTTTACAATTATTAAAATCATTAAAATAATTACAAAAGGTAAAAACTTTTGCATATTCAATTCAGTAGTGTGTTTACACGTAAGGAGCTTTTTTAGAAATCAATACAAAACTGGTTTCAACTGAAAAGACTGCTGCTCATAGTGCAACTGCATTGACTCGCTGTCATCAAATCAAGATGCCACTGCCTGATATTGGTTACACTCTAGCTGCACACTTTTCAAGATTGTCAAAACAGAAAGACGATATTGAATGCGTAGCAGTAACACGCACAATGTTTCATACGCCCAATCCATTTGATAACACACACAGCACACATTGGTGCCACTCTATTGTTTGAGATCACTCAGTTTTTCTCATTTTCTGTTTTTATAAAAATATTTGATACTTTAAACAACAAATTAATATGGATTCACTCACAGACAGTGATAAAATTCTTCAACGGAAAAAACTAGAGTTGCTACAAGAAGAAAAAACAATTAAAAGATTTTTAAACGAGGATTTTGATGATGATTCGCTTCAAAATCGCTTGGAAAATTATAGAAACTTGTTTAACAATTTGGCTGAAAATGGTATGCTTTCTAATAGAGAAATTGATGAACATAGAAACAATGTTTCTGAATTTGAATTTGGCGTTGCTAAACTGATTAAAAATACAAAACGTAAGTGTTGTTTTACTCAAAACTGCTTAATCATTAAAACCAACTACTGTTTGTCAAAATCAGAATTAAATGCGCCAAAATCTTCTTTTGATTTTCAAAATATTCGTGCCAGTAACTCACTTTTTAACGTTGATGGTGATTTTACTGGTAAAGACATCAATATGACGTACAGCTCCACCAGTTCACCAAAACACCAAACTGGATTTGACAATGTTTTATTCAATAACAAGCTTATGAAAGTTGGTGATGTAAACCTTAGCAACGTAAATCAACCAACAGTTAACAAAGATGACTTATCGTAAGTGATAAAAACTAAATTATTAAAAATTTTTAAATTTAAAATTTTTTAGCAACACAAAACAACCTGAGTTGACCAAAACTGAAGTTATACCGTGAGTTTAACATTTTGTTTTATAAATTGTTTTAAAATCAATTTGTATTTTTGTCCAAATACTCAGTCAATTAGCAAACTATTATCAGTTAGTTGAACCAAATAAAATTAAAGGCTATTGTCTCATATTAAACTATGAAAATTTTATCCAACATGACCAGCGAAAGGGTACTGAAAAAGATGCAATTTCATTAGAAACATTGTTCAAAAAACTTAACTTTAAAGTGAAACGACACGATGATTTGAGTAAAGAAGAAACTAAAACAGCATTGGCAAGTGTGGCATCTCTTGATTGCCATTCAGAATACAGCTGTTTTGTCCTGTGCATTCTATCACATGGAAATGAAAAAAGAGGTTAGCTATAGTTTTGATTTAGTTTATTTGTAATATCACTAACACGTTTTAAACTTTTCAGAATTTTACTGTTACGATGATCCATTTTCTTACAGTGATGTCTTAGAATACTTCAACGTAAGCTCTCTGACAGGAAAACCTAAACTCTTTTTTATTCAAGCTTGCCAAGGTGATAAAACTGATAGAGGCGTTTTAGTAAGTTCAGACGCTGTCAGTTCTGCCTCAGTTCCATCAAACAACAAACTGTTCAACGATGGTCCTAATTTGTTGCCAACAACAGCAGATCGATTCATCTTTTACAGTTCCTACGCTGAATACTACTCTTACCGGTCGGCTACAAATGGCTCGTTGTTTATTCAAACTCTAGTTAAAGTTTTTGATGAAAATGCATCTTGGCTTGATCTCGAAACAATGTGCAACAAAGTAAAAGATCTGGTTGCAAACATCAATGGAACTACTGGTGACAACTCAAATCAAACTATCAAACAGATGCCTACAGTCCAAACCACTTTAAGAAAAGGATTTCGATTTTACAATTAAATGAAAACGGATTCAAACTGATCAAATCGTTGAATAAATGTTCATGTATTGTATTTTTATTGCAGTCTATGATAACAAAAACGTGCTAACAACACAAAACTAGTGTAATTTATCAAATTATTTTAAAATAGTAAAAACTTTGATCAATGTTGTAAATAGTTTGTTAAATTTGTTTTTTATATATTTAACCGTCTTTTTGCATAGGAACATTGATAACAACTCACAGAAAATTGTTATGGAAACTATTTTAATATGTCATAAAACCTAACTAATTTATTGACTGCACAAAAAAATTTTTATTACATTTTTAACAAAAAACAGAGAAAAATACAAAATGTGCAGAGTCATCTTTAAATTTATTTTTAAAAAACACTTGTATAACTGAATGTTTATCAAAAAATTGTGGCATTGCAATAGATGACTTGTTTAATAAAACATCATTATTTATAAATAAAATGGATGCTAAAATAAACGCTCAAAAACAAAAATTAAAATTGGAAAAATTAAAAAGAACAATTGAGCATTTTTTAACCGAAGAGTTTGATGATGGAACTTTAGAAAAACGTTTAAAAGAATATGAGATTCTTGTAAACGATCTTGAAGAAAGTTCTTTGTTTTCTGTGGATAATATACATAATCACTATAGTAAACTGGCTGAATTTGAAGTACGGGTTGCAAAATTAATTAAACAAACAAATTTATCATCAGAAAACAAAAGTAAGTTTATTTTGTTTTAAAAACAGTTTTTAAAATTACAAATTGTATATAATCTAGATATTCATAATATAAATTTTTCACCTACTTTGTCATCAATAAATAATTTTTCGGCAAATGTTTCACCAAATTTTAGAGTATTTCCAAATACAACACAATATGAAAATGTTTTTATTTCTACAACATCAAATGCAAATAATTTGCAAAAACATGAAACTGAATTAAAAAATGACGATCATTCAATGTAAATATTTTTAAAAATATTAAAACAACTAAAAAATTTTATTGTTTAGATTAAAAGAAACAACAGTTTATTATAAAATGGCCGAACAAAATAAAATCAAAGGTTATTGTCTTATCTTAAATTATGAAAATTTTTCTTTATCATTTTTAAGCAAACGTTTTGGTACTGAAAAAGACGCAAAAGATTTACAAACATTGTTCAATAAGTTAAAATTTAAAGTAGAACAACATAATGATTTGAGTAAAGAAGAAACTGAAAAGGCATTGGTAAAAGTAGCATCACTTGAATGTCACTCAGAATACAGTTGTTTTGTCCTTTGCATTCTTTCTCATGGCAAAGAAAAAGGTGATTTTAAATTCAATTTTTTTTATTTGACTACTTATTATTTTTGTTTTTATTTATAAGAGTTTTATTGCAAAGATGGTTCATTTTCTTATGGCAATGTTTTAGAATACGTCAACGTTAATTCACTTGCAGGAAAACCCAAACTCTTTTTTATTCAAGCTTGTCAAGGAAACAAAACTGACAATGGTATTTTGGTGAATTCAGATTCTGTCAATTCAAACCAAAATAATAAAAACTGGCATTTCGATAGCTCTAGTTTGTTGCCAACAACAGCAGATCGATTTATCTTTTACAGCTCTTATGCATCATATTGCTCATACCGTTCACCTACACACGGTTCCCTCTTTATTCAAACATTAGTAAAAGTTTTTAATGAAGATGCTTTTAAATGTGATCTTTCTGAGATGTGCAACAAAGTTAAAAAACTAGTGGCTGAAATGGATGGAGCTACAGATAACTACGAAAATATCAAACAAATGCCTACAGAGCAAAGTACTTTACGGAAGAGACTCCGATTTTACTAAACAGATGAAAACATTTCAAATCTGTTATGAAAAAATTCCACATGCAAAAAATAGAAAAAAAATTAATTGAATAAAAGTCCATTTGTTTATTGTATTCACAGTGTGGTCCAAGATCAACAACAGCAACAACATCGTGACAGCAACACAAGGCTGATGTAGCTCAACAAAATGGCACAAACAGTCATTGATGTTTTTCAATAAAAGTCTGCCAATTGTGAGCACGAATCAAACACAACAAGCGATTGTGAGTCAGTTTGTGTGTGTGAGTGTTTATGTGAATAGTCGCCAATCTGGTCATCAAACAAAAACAAAAAAAAGAGGAAGAGGAGAAGATAACAGCAAAATAGTCATTGGTAGTTTAAAGGGGAGGGTAGACAGGTAAAAAAGAAACATTTGGTACAGCAGCAAAAGGAAAAGAAAAAAGAGGAGAATGTGGAAAAGGAAAAAATGAAGAGGACTGTTAAGTTAAATGGTCAGTGGAGACTGGGAAAGTGGTGGGGTGTGTCATTTGTCATTTGTTTTTGGTTCAGAACGGCTGTCCAAGTCTGCAAAACTACTGCAACACTAAAGTCAACTCAGTGGCAGTATCAGACAAAACAACAACAACAACTGTGGGCACAGTGTCTTTAGCAGCAACATCTTTCTTCTTTAACATAAATCAAATTTTTGTTTGTTTGTTTTGTTTTGGTCAATCAAAGGTCATCACATGTGGGATTAAGAAGGGAAGTGGGGCAGAAAAGGAAGTAGAAAAAGGCAAATGAAAAAGGAGCAAGAAAGATGGGGAGAAGAAGAGAGGTTGCAGCTGGTCAAGTGGTGGTGTTTTGGTCTTTGCTGGAAAATAATAAATCAATGGGATCAATCTGATAATGATAATGCTGATGATGATGGGTGATCTTTGGTGAAACAAAAAAGAGGGGCAAAATAGGCAAAATAAATGTGCAACAAGTAGTCGTAATGATATGTGTGTGATCATTTTTGGAGGTGATATTTGTTTGACTAGACAAACTAGATTTGGTACGAGGTACCAGAACAAAAATAAAATTTTGTCAGTAAAAGGGCACATTTTGGGTAAGTGTGTTTTGCTTTTGGAGTTTTGAATCTCAAATCATTTTGTGTGCGTTTTAGTGTGTATTTGTGTTGTGTACATTGAGATTCACCTACCTTTTTATAAGCTACACTTTGATTGTGGCTGATGGACTACTGCTAGAGTTGTTGCTGCCACTACTGTTGTTGACTTTTGTGCTCGAAGGCTGCTGTTGTTGTTGCTGTTGTGTTTGCTGTGATGATGATGATGATTGCAAACGGACGTCGTTCGAAGAAGTGGTGGTCGCGGCAGTGTTCACTGAGTCCAAGCCCTCCACAATCACCACCTTCTCGACGTTGTTTCCGTTGTGAAGAAGAAGGCCACTGCGGTTGTTGGGGTTGTTACTAGAATTTGTTGTTCCACAACTCAGTCCATTCCCTGGTTGATTTGCCCGGCCTGGCTTGTTACTGCTGTTAGGCCCTCTTTCTCCGTCATCGTCGACGGTGATCAGAAGCGTCACATCGCCGGCCGTCGTACTGCTGGTGGTCAGTGTAGTGTTGCTCTGAAGACTGGTCAGCTGTTCTGCTTCAAGCAACGGGCAATTGTCCTCCTCTTCATCCTCCTCATCGCCGTCCACCAGCGGAATGTCCATATCGCTGAGGCCCATCAGCAGGTCACCAGTTGTGGATGTAGGCGTTTGCAGTTGCTGCTCCTGTAAATTAACGTTTTCCACTAGCTCGCCCTCATCCTCGCCGATGATCATCTTCCGCAGATAGGGATAGTGGTGGCTGTAGTGGTGGTGGTGGTGCTGTTGTTGATGCGGTCCTGGTTGTTGTTGTTGTTGTTGGTTCAGTGGTAATTGGTGAGAGTACGCTGGAGGAGAAAGTACTGTTGGAACGTTTGGAGCAGGCACCGCCGGTGGAGACAGAGGATTGTAGACCGTACAACTGCTGCTGCTTCTGCTGCCAACTCCATCGCTGAAACTGCCAGTGCTCTCAGTGGAAAACTCCTGCGCCGAGGTGGAGTTTGATGGCGGGTGATGAGAGGAGGGTGGATGATGATGTTGATGATTTTGTTGTTGTTGTTGTTGTTGATGCAGCTGCAGCTGCTGCTGCTGATAAAGTTGCAGCTGTTGAAGTTGCTGCAAGGTGGCGGCGGTCATCGTGGCGCCGCAGGAAGAACGCCGCCACGCCCGACAGGAGACGCACATCTGGTGAATGCTGTGCGGCGGCAGTGGAAGTATTGTCGGGTCTAGAAGATACAAAATGGTGAAAAAACAAAAAATCAGTGTTAGTAAAAAAATCGAGTGCAAATCGACTCTGGAGAGAAATGGCAGGAATGAATGAAGAGGACAGACAGACCGACACTGTACAGAAAGCAGTGGCGCACATTTGACGATGACTAATGGACAGTGGCTGGACTGGTGGCAGCACTATTTAAGTTCATTGATTCACTCTGCCAAAACATTCTGCAAAACAGCAGCATCAGCTTATCTACAGTGCGCCAGCCAGCACTGTATTTTTGCGCGTTGATTTATGAAATCAGACAGTGCACACAGTGCCGGCACTAGGTGCTACTGCTCTTGACTTTTTTTGTGAACTGATGGACAGAAGAAAAAGAAAAGAGCAAACTCCTCATATTACCTAGCTCGTTAGGCGTGCAAATGGTAGTGTTGCACGCAGTGCTAACCAAACCAAAATGATGGTAACCAGCTGACCGGTGTGTGATAAACAGACATTGCAGGATGTGTGCATCAAATATTCATAAAGAAGCGGAGCCAATTGAGTGCACCCCTACTACTTTCATCTATGCAAATGATGAGGTCTACTTCTAAGCACTAAGAAGCTGCTAATGATAATGACGATGATGGCACTTTTGGTTGTTATTGTTATCAGAATGATGGGCATCCAAAGGACAAGAATAGAAGCAAATTATTTAAGCAAAAAACTGGTACTCACCAAACATTCTCATGCTCATTTGGCGCCTGTGGTGGNTCAAAGGACAAGAATAGAAGCAAATTATTTGAGCAAAAAACTGGTACTCACCAAACATTCTCATGCTCATTTGGCGCCTGTGGTGGTGATGACCACCTCCACCTCCTCCACCTTGACCACCACCACCACCGTTGCTGTACATATCACCATTGGTG